AATGCATACCTTGTCCACCCCCAATACTAGACATTCAACTTCCATACCATTATTTGGCATCTTTTTTCATGAAAAAGTGAACAATTCACCTTTTATTGGCTAACAAAATGCTCGTGAATACATTGCAACCAGGAAGTAGTATCAAGATTGCATACCATACAAAGGAATTTAATAATACATATTTTGAAAAGTCGTTTGGTATTTCAAACAGACCTATTGGAAGTTTGGATTTGCAGACACTAATCTGCTTTGAAGAGGTGAGTATGGATGTTCAAGGCATTTGCGATGTAACAGTATTGATGTCAATATCTTGTACAGTTTAATCAAGTAAATTTTCAAGTCAGTATATCAAATGGCAATACAAATAATCCTGATTTATATAAATATATATATATATATGCAGTGACAGACTTCATCACACCTTCAAAATTGGCTCGTGTCAACCAATCGAAAATAATTACAATGAACAAACCTCAATGTTTTCTAATGTCATCTCACCCGTATATATGTAAAGTAGGATTTTTCTGAGAGCTGTCACGTTAGTATCGTTCAGATGAACAATGGATGAAGACTCAGCTAATTCTCCATAAAACAACGATCTAAAGTATTCAGAGCGAGCTGCCAATATAGCTCTGTTGGCGGGGAAATGAGTATTGTTAACAATCAGAGTGACATCACAGAATGTTGCATGTCGATAGCGATCAGATATACACAGAATAGTTTCTTCAGAATGATCAATTTCATACACCAGAGTGCCATCCTCTGCAGCACCAGTGAATGAGACTCCAGCACAATTCGATGCTTGATAACGCATTTTCGTGACCTCCAAATGTACCGTCGAGCTGAAGTTGCCACTTCTCCGCTGTCGCTTCGACTCTATATTGGAAGTCTTGAAAGATGGAACTAATGAACCTTTTTCGCTGCAAGGTTTATCTGGCTTCAATTTGTTATCAGTTTCAGTATTATTATTACGGTTTCTCTGGAGGCTGAAAGACGAAATGAGTTGGCGGTAGAAAAGTAGCATTTGAGGATAGAATGGATCAAACAATATGATCATCAACGTTTGCGGATTAGGATCCAGAAGTATGGAAGAAGCAGACGCATTGTTATAATATTTAGGTTAGTATCATGCTCTGTCTTGAATCCTCAACATTATACCAACGTTCCATTTCAAGTACCCGACGTATGCTCTCTGAACCAGTTCAGACGATAGCAAATTTCAAGAGACATAGCCCGAAGTTTTTGTATGGTTAGAGTGACCATCGAGTCTTGTTTGTAAGATTCATCTATGGTACTTATCACTAAAGCTGCCAGTGAGAAGTTTTAAGCCTCTTTTTTCGAGTGATTTTTTATGTGGTCGGTGAAAATAGTTGCCAGTAATTCAGGGATCAGGTAGCAAATATTGTGAAATTGGATCCGACTTAATACTTATTTACGCCTTATATTTTCCCGATTCTTTGAGGCCGTCTCCCCTGTAATATCCCGTAACATCATACGAATAATTCACTAGAATAAGGAGGATGACGTTTTGAGTGCAGGAGTCAGTCAGTTCATGGAAATAATTCCTTGTTTGTGTTGGAAGTTGGAAGCTCTTAATATCTACTGGCTACGGAGACTTTTAGATAGGCTTACTGCTTCACAAAACAGATATCCCAAAAGTTTTAGCGATGAGATTATAGATGTTCTAGTCAATGGGGGTAAGAACACGTCTACAAACCAGCTACGTTCGGTTCTTAAGCGTTTTCTGAGGTTTTGTATTAAAAGACAGAAGACGGAATATTTCAGATGATATGAGTGTATTTGCTGGCGATTTCGAGGTTTCGAAAGAAAACAGAAACGTGCCAGAAAAATGTGCGAAGTTTGTTGAGTATGCCATATAAGAGCCAGATCATCTGCGAACACCATATCGTGCAGCTGGTTCTCCCTTGTCTCCCCTACCACTCTCAACATGTTGACGTCCTTATAATCCAGTCGATCACCAGAAGAAACAGAAGGAGAAAGAGTGAGCAACCTTACATGAAACTGGTCTTCACCTCGGACGAGTCTTTCAGCGATTCTCCATGCACGATTTTACAGTTTCATCCATCGTAAGAGTTCCGTGTGATGTTCACTATCTTCTCAGGTGTGACGTAGTGTCGAAGAAGCCTACATTGTGTCACCCTGCACACAGTCGAATGCTAACTCGTAGCCAATGAAGTACATGTACAGTGTTCAGTTCCGTTCGACCGATTGTTCCACAATGATTTGTAATGTTGCAGTTTGGTCGGTACACGATCGATCCTTACGAAATCCAGCCTGTTGATCTCGATGTTGGACGTCTACGAAGTCCATCGTTCTGTCAACAATTACCCTGTTAAAGACCCTGACTCGTATTGAGAGAAGAGTGATGGCTGTGTAGTTCTCACACTTGCTGAGATCGCCTTTCTCTAGTACTTTGATCAGTGTAATTGGATTTTCTACCGTGGTCGTTCAATTCGATTCCAATAGACGTATGTCGGACGCACTTCCCGATTTTGAATATAAAAACACAATAATTCTAGCGGAAAATGATCTATTAATCGATAATAAATGGAAATACAAACAATACCTAACAAATTTTATGTCTTCCAATTCAAAATTACTCTGAATGAGTATCGAGGTTCCGAAGTCTAAGTGAACTCCTATACTGCACGATATCAAATCCAAAAATATGGCTGTAGCCATATTTTATCAAATTTAAACAACATATGTACAGTTCAGAAGCAAACATAAAAACTTCAATATAAGTACAAAATATAGAAATAACAACAATATACAATGATAAAATCTCAAATTGGACTTAAATAAAATACCAAAATGTCAACAGAAAGAGTCCGTCATGTCATAACAAAAATATGTAAACATGGAGGGATTTTCCAAAAAACAAAACATTCAAAAAAGATTCTACACTGGCCCGCAAAATCCCTCCATGCAAAAAGCAAGCGTTAATGACACTTCTATTTAGGGTTCCCACTCATCCCCTAATCCACACCGGAAGAACGTGTAGGACTTACAGCAGTACGCCTACCCGCCCTCCAACATGGATATGACCTATCAAGCTAACTAGGTACCTGTACCTTCCCATCAGGCCCTTGATTCCCCTATCTATCGTAGCATGACCTAACAGTAGTATAAACCTTACCCAATTAACCCACAAGAACACGTACAACACGTCGTAAAGCTGGTCATATCCTATCCAGGAACTACATTCCCTATCATGGGGACGAGTCGCCAATCCACCACCACTCGCTCCGATCGGCAGATACAATGAAGTCCGTGATGCTGACTCATCAACAGAAATTCTTGACCCGTGGATAATATGCAAGGGTGGGATCTCCAATTTAGCCCGATAAGCTAATCTTCCGAAACCTAACTACTAGCTATCTTAGCGCGAGACATAATAAAATTCCGTTTAAACTCATTGAAATTAGGTTCTCTTTTCCTCTTCGTCCCCACTTGATTTCCAGCTCTGCCCACTGGGCTTGCATTCGACGAGGTAAGAGCCTGACTATTCGTTCTAAAGTAACCAGGGGATGAAGTTCCGTTTGTACAATTTAGCTGTTCTAAGGTTAAAGCAGCATTCTGCATTTTAATAGCCAAATTCGTCAATTAATTCAGGATCATTAAAATCTGCATTCCCGGTTCTAAATAAGTCCTCTAAGGTTTCCCGGGCTATTACATGCGACTGTCCAAAGAGCTGTTTTAAGATGGCCTTAGCTCTCTTATATCCCGCTTGTGGATCCATTATAATACAACCTTCAATCGCATTTTTTGCCCTTCCCTTACAATAGTGAATTAAATATAATAAACGCACTTGGTCATCTTTTATTCTGGGTTCTATAAACGTTTCTATTTGGCGCATAAACCTAAAGTAGTCGCGAGACTTTCCATCAAAATATGAAAGTTCGACCTTAGGTAGTTCTAAACCTACTATCAGTGTCTTAAGTATCTGATCCGTCTCTGGTACCTTAGAACTCTCACTTAAGCCTTGTTCCTTAATGCCTGCCAAAGGTGACTTACAATAATAAGTATCAGACATAACATCGTTATTAACAAAGTGGTTACCCATTAAACGAGTATCATTAACGACTTGCTTAGCGTTTCGGGATCCGTCAAGCTCTTCCACCCTCCTCGTGTTTGTTTTCTTGCGACTTGACATCATAAGTGAAGTTCAACGGAAGATAAATAACAAATACAAAATATAGTAATTCCACAGATAAGCTCGAGCAGAGATGTGCAAAATGAAAAATTCTTCATCCAAGATACAATTCGAATACGAAAATACGATAAATAATCCAAAATTCTTTCAAGAAAGTTTAGTGTGATAAACGATTAAATTTCCAAATGTTTCTTTATAATTTTTAATAATCCAACTGTATTGGTCTTCTAATCAAAAGTAACAGATAATTCCAGAATATAAACGTTCATAGGAATAATTCCAGACAGTAAATGGACTGGTTTCCGAATTTTGTTAGACTATAATTGGATTTTCTACCGTGGGCAGTTCAATTCGATTCCAATAGACGTATGGTCGGACGCACTTCCCGATTTTGAATATAAAAACACAATAATTCTAGGGGAAAATGGTCTATTAATAGACGCATTGTTATAATATTTAGGTTAGTATCATGCTCTGTCTTGAATCCTCAACATTATACCAACGTTCCATTTCAAGTACCCGACGTATGCTCTCTGAACCAGTTCAGACCATTGTAGGATTCCCGTTGCATAACGTTAGATTCACCAGAATAACGCACCCGAAGTCAATGAATTAAAAGCTCTTTGAGTATTCGGAATATTTATTTGGAACAGTTAAATAAATATCGTATGTGGTTCTGCAACAAACAATTATTAATTTACTAGTTACTTACATTCAAGGTGATTAAGCAACAACAACAACAACAACAAATTATCACAACGATCCGTGTCCCACACACCAAGCGAATAGAATGCCAAACAAAATGGCTGACCAAACAGTCAATGTTTCGACCAATAGAAAACAACTTCTAGATTGTTCGATCATACTAACCAATAAAATGCAAGTTACAAATTATGTAGTAAACACTCAACTACTCATGAGTAGTACAACCATTACAACTAAATCCAACACTGCCCCCTGAGGTTGAAGAATCCTGGGATGTTTCTAATTGTTCAGGGTTCTGTGATTCTTCAACTTCACCTTCTAACTTGCATAACTGCCGTACATCTCTTCTCACTGTCCGTCCACGTTTCACAAATAGTGGTCCAAAATAATCGACACCTGTCACAGTAAATGGATTACAGTGGTACATGAAACGATCTTCTGGTAGGGGTGCCATAGCCTGTTGGCAAGGTTGAGAGAACCACTTACGACACTTATAGCAATTATTGAGAACCGACTTGATGGTTTTCACTGCTTTAATGATCCAATATCTTTCACGGATTGTTGAAATCAGAAAGTTTACTCCCATATGTCCATTCGCTTCATGATAATGTCTAATAATTAAACGGGTAATAAAATGATTATGCGGTAGTATAATCGGATGCCTTACTTCAAAGGGTAGACCTGATTGTTGTAAGCGCCCACCAACTCTTATTACTCCATTAACCGTAATTGGTTTCAAATGACGTAGTGGGCTTGAAGACTTGCATAATGCTACTTTAATTGTTCGGTCGACCTCCTTCTCACTCGTCACCACCGTGACGTGATTCAACAGCTTAAATACATCATTGAAACATTCCTTCTGCGCCAATCGGATAATGTTGAGCTCAGCCGCTCTTAACTCTGCGACTGTGAGGTTTTGTTGGTTAGTTAATTTGTTCGTCAAGAGATGTTTATAACGTAGAAGCCAAGCTATCATTCGTTGTAATTTCATCCATGAATTCACAGCTTCGAATCGACTCAGAAACGTAGGTTGATTCTCGTTTGGATATAAATCTTTATTTGACAACATATAGTTTATATAGGAGCATGCATTAGTGTTCTGGTGTGGTTCCTGCTGAACATATCCCTGCAATAAAAATGTTGGACCACTAAGCCATCGTTTTAATTTTCGTTCTTGGTTTACCATGAACCCTCGGGAAAGCAGATCCGCTGGGTTGAGCTTAGAACTAACGTAACACCAGTCTGATGGCCTCGTCTGTTCCTGTATATAGACCAACCTGTTAGCAAAAAACGTAGGGAATCTCTTGGAAGCATTGTTTATGCTATGGAGTACGACGAGAGAGTCAGTCCAATAAACTGTTTTGAGTATGGTAACAGTCATCTCTGTTCGGATAAACTTGGAGATTTTCACAGACAAAACTGCTGCCGCCAATTCTAAACGTGGTATACTCGTAGCCCTAATAGGTGCTACTTTAGCTTTAGCGAATATCAGTCGACATTCTTTAACACTTTGCTGTTTCAGTAGTAGCAAATACCCTGCTGCTCCGTATCCATTATTAGAGGCATCACTGAACATATGTAGTTCGATTCCAGTACATTCGGCTGCATTTAATGACCGAGGCAAAACTATCTTTTCTATATGAGTAAGACTTCCTTGCCATTTTCTCCAAACCTTTAGTTCTTCTCCTACTATTAAATCATCCCAAGAAAATTTCATTTTGCATAGTTTCTGAAGGATAAGTTTCGCTGGGAGAATAACAGGTGCTAGGTAACCCATGGGATCGAATATGGAGGCGACAAATGACAATACATTACGACGTGTAACAGGTTCATTTACCCTCCCGACATAAAAACGAAAGGTATCATCGCTTATATTCCAACTTATGCCCAAAGCTCGACAAGTGGTATGATCGCCGTGCCCGATGTGTACACATGGCCCGATACAATTAAACTCAGGTAGCAGTTGAGCTAATGTTGAATCATTAGTAATCCACTTAGTCAAGTTGAATCCACCTTTTGATAACATATCTTTCAACTGAGTTGCTACTCGATAACTTGTTTCAGTATTGGGAGTACTAATTAAACAATCGTCTACGTAGAAACTACGTGTAGCCATGTCGTAAACTTCCTTGTCATAGTTTTCCTTGTTATCTTTGATGGTACGATTAAGAGCAAACGTAGCGCAACTAGGAGAAGAGGTTGCTCCAAATAGGTGGACTGTCATGCGAAGTTCTTCAGGGCTGTCAGTAAAATCTCCGTTCGTCCACCATAAAAAACGCAGAGCGTCTCTATCGCATTCGGGTACTTTAACCTGGTGGAACATTGCTTCGATGTCAGCCATTACTGCTACCCTTTCTTGTCTAAACCTAAGAATTACACCCAATAACGAATTAGTAAGATCCGGACCAGAGAGTAACCTGTCGTTTAATGATCGTCCTTCATGTTTAGCAGCGCAATCGAATACTATTCTAATTTTCTCTGGTTTCGCTGGATGGACGACAGGGTGATGCGGTAAGTACCATACGTTAGAGTTATCATTTAACGGTGGCGCAATTTCTGCATATCCCTTTATAAGGTAATCTTTCATTGCATCCGCATAGCGTCTAGCTAAATCTTTAGAGGTACACAGTCGTTTGCGTAAAGCGTTCAGACGATGCAAACAATACGACTTATTATCCGTCCATTCTAACTGTGAATCTTTCCACGGGAGTGATATACAATAATGACAATCCTTTAACGTGATAGACTTCTCCATGATTCTGAGTGCGGTTCTATCTTCAATCGATAAGTCTTTATCTTTAGACTGACTTTCCTCTAACAGGTCTTGCTGGTAGAATCCTTCAAGAGTACTTTCAATTTCTGAGAGACTGAGATGATTTGACTTTATGTGTCTTGTGACATGAGTACCGAGGGGTCCTATCAGTGTCCAACCAAATATGGTCTTTATCGCGTACGGTTCCTCCGGTCTTCCTAACCTTTGTTCTAAGTTTCTATGTGCTTCAGGAACATTGCAGCCAACCAGTAGTCCTATTCGCTTACTTTCACATCTCCTCAGGTCTATTCCCTGCAGATGTTGCCACAATCGAAGCTGCTTCTCCTCTGGTACCACTCGCTTAATCTTAGGCAAACTGGGAACAACATATGCTCTTTCTATCCGAATTGACTCATCAGATTCGTATGAGCTAACTTCTAGTTGTACCGCATTTGTCCGCATCTCTCTGTAACCATTCATAGTCTCTATCCGAACACGGGCATATTCCATAAGTAATTTTAAATCGTCGACAATATCCTTAAGTACCAATGTCGAGTTAGAGCCGCTATCCAAGAATGCTAAAGTTTCTACCGTACGGTCACGATTGCGGAGAATTACTGGGACCACTGCAAATGCCACCTTAGGCTCTTCATTTTCCGCTCGGGAATTTGAAACGTAATTAGTAGCAACATTCGCATTAGATGGTGAGACGTCCGTCGTAACATGCAACAATGTATGGTGCCTACCACCACAACCCTCCACGGTACATCCTCTGCGCAATCTACAATCCTTAGCTATATGATTAGCCTTTAAACATAATCGGCATAACCTTTTCTCCTTGATTAGATCTAACCTTTTATCTACTTCAAGGGATAGCAACGTTGGACACTGGTCTAGAAAGTGGTTGTCTTTACATAAGATACACACTAAATACCTTTCTTGACGTTGACTTGAAGGCGAGTGCTGCAATGTAAACACGTTCCTTTTTGTACTCGGTGGTTGAGAAGAAACAACGTTCCGGACTCGTTTATCTGACTTTAAATTTGCTGCGAGTTCTCCATATCTCGTACACATTATGTTGACACGTTCCTCGATAAACCTAGCTAAGTCCTCAAAGGTAGGCTCTGTGTCTTGTTTCATATAATCTACCGCTGTTTCCGCCCATTTAAACCGGAGATTCGAAGGCAACCTCGCCACAATAGCTTCTAGTGTTCTGCTTGCATTTAAATCGGACTGGTAACCTAACTGTTTTAATGTCACGACGCATGTTTGCATTTTTTGACTAAGGTCAGCCAATGCCGCCGAGTCGTCGTTCTTAACTGGTGGCCCGTCAATTATTTCATCTATAAAGGCCCTAGCCACCATGTAATTCTGGCCAAATTTCCTTTTTAAGATATCTTTAGCCATTATAAAGCCATCTGTGCCATTCATTATAGTACAATGCTCTATAGAGTCTCTCGCCTTACCTGTGCAAAATTGGATTAAGTAATTCAAACGTATGGCGTCGTCGGTTGTCGCTTGTTCTACAACTTTCTGAAACTCTTTCGTGAATATCCAATACTCCTTTGGGTTTCCGTCAAATCTCCTTATTTCTGGCTTTGGCAGTTCGAAGTATCTTTCTACATAATTCGTTGTAGGACAGGTGTCGCGTTTCATGTCTCCTCTTTCGCTAGAATTTTGGAGACATCCTTCTCGTAACAGCGTTTCCAACAAGAGCCTTTTTTCCACTTCTTGTAATTTTAGCTTCGCCAATTCTATTTCCATTTCCTTCTCACGTAGGCTTTTTTGGCAGCTTAAGACAGGACTTTCAGGCTTTTCTAACTGAGCAGATAAATCTGGCATACTATCTTCTAGATGTTGTCGTTGTTGACGCAAAAAACTTGAATAACTGTAGGATTCCCGTTGCATAACGTTAGATTCACCAGAATAACGCACCCGAAGTCAATGAATTAAAAGCTCTTTGAGTACTCGGAATATTTATTTGGAACAGTTAAATAAATATCGTATGTGGTTCTGCAACAAACAATTATTAATTTACTAGTTACTTACATTCAAGGTGATTAAGCAACAACAACAACAACAACAACAACAAATTATCACAACGATCCGTGTCCCACACACCAAGCGAATAGAATGCCAAACAAAATGGCTGACCAAACAGTCAGTGTTTCGACCAATAGAAAACAACTTCTAGATTGTTCGATCATACTAACCAATAAAATGCAAGTTACAAATTATGTAGTAAACACTCAACTACTCATGAGTAGTACAACCATTACAACTAAATCCAACAATAGTAGCTCATACATTTAATGTATAAGATGCTAAACATCTCTGCTCTTGGAAGACTGATACAGATAATTTGAGAAGGCTGACCCATGAGATGCATGTTTGTGAGCTAACGCTCACACAAATAAATTATCAATCTGGTCTTCATTTTACAAAAACCATCGAATGCATGTTTTTAAAACTCCCACTTTACGTACAGAGGGAATGGGTTAAAGTAGCGTGTCGAATTCTCAAGACGGGTAGAGAGCCTTTATTCAAGTACCTCTGTGAATTTGTAAAGTAACAGTCAGACATAGCTAATACTAGATACGGCCCACTCGTCAACAGCAGCAATGATGGTGAAAAAAGGGATTTCGGTGTTTTGAAGGGAAATACTAGTGCAAGTTACAACACAGCAAGAATAGCATTTGCGAGCACTAATGAAAGCGATGTCTCCTTACGTAGTTTACCCTGTCTGGAGTGCTCAAGCAATCATTCTTTAGACCAATGCCAGAAGTCTAATGACAAACATGTTAGAGGAAGGAAAGAATTCATCTTGGAGCACAAGTTATGTAACGTTTGTCTGAAGGCAAACCATGTGGCAAAAAATTGTCGATCACCGAGGTCATATTCTGTTGAAGGATGTGGTTGGAGACGCCATACCCTGTTACATGGGGAGCTTGAAGAACGGAGAGATAATGATGCCAACATAATTGCTCAGATTTGTACAGGGGAAGGCGTTAAATGCATACAGAGGCCAGTGGCATTTGCAGTAGTTCCTGTACGGACAAAAAATGGTGGGAGAATTATTCAGATTTGCGCTTTTCTAGATAATGGAACCGGCACCTTCCTCATAGTTAAAGATCTAGCTGACAAGTTGGTCCTCGAAGGAAAACTAAAAATGATATCTCTAAAGACTGTTAGTAATAAATCGTCGTTGGTATCCAAAGAGGTCGGTATAGAATTGCTCTCGATAGACGTTTCGTAATCCGTTAAGGTCCAGAAAGTGTTGACTGTTAAAAAACCACAGGCAGTTTACACGACTGGGCCAACGGCGGATCAAATGACATTCTGGTCCAATTTGAAAGGAATAAGTTTTCCGAGGGTAGAAGATGAGATTGTTAAACTGTTGATTGGGTTTAACGCACCGGGCGTACAAGAGATGAAAGAGATAAGAACAGGAAAGATGAATGAACCGTCTGCTGTGAGGACTATATTGTGTTGGACTTCGTTCGACCCTTACGGGGAACTCGCGATTGCCACCGCGTACTTAATCACCCCTCGGCTAAGGAGGAATTAGAGGACAGGTTTGAAAAGTTATAATCAACTGAATTCAAATACCTATTTAGTCGTAATCCAGCGATGTCTTTGGAAGATCGTATTGCATTTAGCGCTATATCAGATCCAGTGAAAATGTTAAGTGGACAAGATCAAATAGTTCTGCCTTGGAGGCACTAACACAAGTTACCTAATAGTAAGAAATTAGCAGAATATAGACTAATCTGTTTGAAAGGTAGACTTATTCGGCATAAGAAGTTGTTCCAAGACTATGTGAACACTCTGACTCGATATATAGAGAGTTTATGCCGAAAAGGTAAACGAAAACAACTATAATGGACGGATCTGGTATCTTCCTCATCACCCTGTCTTTCATCCCAAGAAGCCGAACAAGCTAAGAATAGTGTTCGATTGTGTAGCTCAGTATCCCTGGACGTCTTTAGACAAAAATCTTTGTTCTGGGTCTGACTCAGTCAATAACTTAGCAGATGCTTTCACCAGGTTTCGGCTAGGAACAGTAGGTCTTATGGTATACATTGAAGCCATGTTCCATCAAGTAACGGTTCGGTTTACTAACTATTGATAGCTTCAACACCAGCTCAACCTATACAGGCGACGAAGTCAAAGCTAATCCAACTCTTCTCTAAAATTATTCACCATTAGACGTGGTGAATCAATGGACTTGAGGTGTGACGAGTGAGGCAGCCTAGGAATGCAAAACGCTATCGTGGTGTAAAGGCGCAGGCTACGTGATAGTCATCTCCACAATCGCACATGATTCACATACGCCGTGAACTGCCATACTGGTTTGCTCTTGAGCGTCTAGTAATATATCCTGGCTTCCGCTCTTACCAGCCACGCTTTATCGTACTTGATACGGATCGGGAAGACGACTTTACCAGTGGTCCCTGGGGTGAGTGGACATATGCGCGTCCACACCTTGAGGTTAACAACGTCGTCGCATCCATTCTCCTTAAAAGAGACACAAATCTCTTGGATCGAGTGCAGAGACAGGCAACGAAACGGGTGATAGGGTTGAAGAATAAAACTTACGAGCATAGACACCAGCACTTGGGATTGTTGCCTGAGTTACAGGAGGATCAGAGGTGACCTGATAATAGTGTACAACATGCTAAGCACGCATCTTACCGATGCATCGCCACCACTCCCCTCGAGGCAATCTTCGAAGAATTGCGCATCAAAGAGCGAGTAATCAGATTCGTGCACACTTTTTCTCACTAAGACTTGTCGCTACTTGTCGCCGGGGTGACCACAACCCACTCAGTGGACAGCTTTAAGAAGAGACTTGATGAACACGTACTCATATACGGATGATCATCTCGCTCTAGGACAAGCTGTTCATGATGTATATCTTGAGACCTGCTAGTTGTTATCATTGCCATCTCGTCAGATCACTCAATAAATCTATCTTGCCTCTCATCTCTTTTCCCTCCCCCTTGCTTACACTACGGTCCTCTCTCACGATCTTCACTACCAATTCATAAAGTAACTTACTTACTTACTTACGCC